TTTATTCTCATCAAGAACCTAAAAGACATAGTAACAGAATAAGTCAATCTCAAAACAAGATCTGTTTTTTCTTCAATTTGTAGAATCAAGAACAGAGTACGAACCTTAGTCTCTGTGAGGAAGCTATCAAACTTCCTTTTCTTGATATTTTCCGGTGAAATTGAGAGTCTTGCATCACTCTCCACCGTCATGTCTCCGTAAGGAAGATCCAAACCGGCGGTTCCGAGAAAGCCGGCGTTAACCGTTGAAGAATCGGAGAAGAAACCGGCGAGAGTAGAATCTAAACCGGGATGGTGGTAATTGAGGTGTACCCTTTGGCGCTCTAACACTGACATGTCTGTGTAGTTGAGCAAAAACTCAGCTTCTCTAGCTCCATTCATCATCTTCTTCTTCGGATTCAAGAAAACAATTTGCAGTGAGAGAAAGAGAGAGAGAATGGAAACAGAGTAAAGGTGAGGTTAGAAGAGGAAGGGATATTTATAACAAGAAAACATCTGTTTTTGTACTTAGTCCAAATTCATCGCATCAAAATAAAAAAGTAGGGCCATGTATAAATCTGGAAGTGAAATGATAAATAGTTGGAAAAAATAAATAATGATACAAAAGCTTAGAAAAATAATTAGTTTATATAAATGTTACTCAAAGGTGACTTTAAATCTCTATGTATTGTTACATGCTTTTGCTCAATATAATTAGTGGGAAAGTCATGCGGCGGTATAGTATACATAAACAAATGAAATATTATCCTATTACATATTTCTAGCTAGTTGTTTTGGTTTTTTAATATATTAGAAAATCTATAAGGTTTGTATTTATTAAATCATACAAATAAAAGATCTTATACAATTTTTAATACATTAAGGGTTTAATACAATTTCTTCTTCCCAAAATTGAGATGGAAAATCCTAACTTTTTTTTCCCCTCTCAATTCTATTTTTGATTTCACCACTCACAGCCTAAGCATTTCATATACTTTCTCCATTTTGTACCCTTATTTCTTTTAATTATCACTTTGAAAAAAAGAGGGCTTGTTCGGCGGCAATACTATTTTAAGTCACAAAATATAAAGATGTTGGCGGAGATAATGACAGTTGAGAGAAGAAATGTCTCGTCGTAATCTGTAAAACGAATCGCTGAAAGTAATCACAACTATCGCTAGAAGTGATAATCTATACCCAGAGCTGGATCATTTGAGATTTTCGGAGTTCCTTACCAAAAAATAAATTATTAATATTTAGTATAAATATTTTTTTTTAAACAATAAATTTATTTTTTATGTGAAATAAAATTATGAAAAAAAATAATGAAAATCTTTACCTTTTAATCATCAAACCTCATAAAATACTAGATCTCACACAAAAAAATAGTTTTTTATTTTACTAAATCTTTATTTTTATCTATCAAATAACATATTTAAACAAACTAATAATAATAGGTGCACAAAAAAAAACAAACTAATATAAATATATATATTTTTTTAAATAAATAGGACCCCTTTGGATTGGAGATCCCATTCAAATGTTTCAAAACACTTTCTTCAGATTTGGCTCTGTCTATAACGGTCGGATTTTTGTAACCACATAAACTACCTACCTTCTAGTTTAAAATCAGGACCATGACCATCTTCAAGCATCTAGACGACCTCCACGGTTTCTACGACCCATTTTAGATACTCGTTATCTTCAAAGCTAAGTACAAAATGATTATCCATTTCATCAGATGGTACACAAGATATTTCACCTCAAAAGGGTTATAAAAATAAAATAAAAAACACTTCACGTCATTTTAATACTCTTGTTTTTGGTTACGACGCACTGTTCACATGAATTTATTACACAAGTGATTTTCTGAATCTTGTTAATCAGACCGATCCTGCGTCTGATCGCCATGCTCTCCATTGGCTTACTCTATTACGATTGGCTAATACTGAAACGGCGCAAGAGAGACTGCCACGTGATTGCCATGCTCTTCACATACAAAGCCCATCACATAAATCACTCACTAGTAAGTTAGTTTTAGATCACTTTCACCGAAAATCGGTGAAGAAAATATTTCAAGAAAAAGACCACTCAAGGAAAGAAAAGAAAAAATGGTATAGTTTAGATTCTCAAATATTTTTCATTTATCCGACTTTTTATTTTAAGTTATTGGAAAGACCTTTATGTGATTGATATAGCATATTACTCTTCTCGAGTTTGGGGGTTTTAAAGCCAATTAATTTTATATAAAGCTTTTTCACAGCTGTTTTCGCTTTTGTTTACGACTGCTTATATTTTTGAGAAGAAATATGGAGCTAGTAGATAAGGGAGAGGGTATAAAGTTTGTTTAACATAAAGAAATGGTCTTTGCTAAAAGCTATTGATGTGATGAATTTGGACCAAGTCCATAGACGATGAAGGCTACTTCCCCTATCATACTTCCATGCATTATGCATACATTTAGTAATGTCACACACCTAATTTGTGGGTTCCCCATCCTTTTT